ACATAACCAACCCCCAAAGATAAACTATTGACTTTCAAATAAACGCGGACAAGAAAACCAAAAAGATCTCTGATGACTTTTTTTTAAGGATAGACAGGTATTATAAGAACACATTCTTTATTGGTTTGTTACATCCATCTAAATATGTACTTCAGAAGTACGAGAAATTATAAAGCCCAAAATATTATTCAAAATGATTAAATTTTTAAATATTCAGATACAAACTGAGAGGGGGAAATTGGTAAAATATTTTACTATGCAAGTCTGTGATAATTTAGCAAACTATAATCAACTGCCTAAATCCTACATATGATTAATTTTTTAAAACTCAGCGTATATTAATAAATACATAATAAATCACTTCAATAACTGACATTTTTTTCCGCTCTACACAAATTTCAGGCTCTGCATTTCAAGCTGAGCTTTGAAAAGTGCTCTTTTTCAATAAAAGAGCCCCAAGGACAAGTAGCCAGCTTTCGTAACATGTGTGCACACTAAGTGAGGGAGAACAGAGAAAAATACCAGAATTGTATTATTCTCAACCATATACCACTAGCATTTTAAAATTTTCTCATGTTTGAGAATCTTAAGTCCCATGCTTCAGCAGAAACAAATTGAGGGCAAGTCACAGTTTATCTGCGAAGGTGTACGCCAAACCACAAAGCATTTAAACATGACTAAATTCTGAGCTCATCCTCGAAATGCTCCGAAATACGTAAATTTCAGGTTTGGAACAGTCCTTCACCCTGACTGATATTCCTACATTTCCAGGAGCTGCTGGGGACCATGGATTGGCCGTATTCTGCAAAGAACTCAATGAGAGCGCCTTAAACTACAAATTGAGCCTCACCAAAAGCAGGACTTCATTTTAAAGTCTCAGTCCCATCTTATAATGCAAAGAATAACCTACCCCCAAACAATCGATAGCTGTTAAAATGTTATCTTATTTCAAAGCCTTATGAATGATAATAAACATTTAAGTAAACATTCTAATGTGGCATTTTAAGTGGTCGAGGATACTCCCGACACACTTCTCAAAAACTGTGAACTGCGTTCATTCGTGTTCAAAAGGATTTTGTTTACCTGCCAACCAAATGCCCATATATCTCATCATAAAAACCTTTAAATGAGGCCAACTATGTAAACTAGTCATTAATAATAATCTAAGTCCCCAATTTTACATCAAAAATATTTACAATGTATTACTCCCCAAAGGTATTAGAATGTGCCAATAAAAGTTCACAATATTTCGAATAATTTGACTCACACGCACAACTAAAATACTAGCTAACTTTTTAAAATATATCTTTGTCAATTCTTCATAAGAATTTTTCAAAACATCAAAACTAAAGAATATCATTAACGCACAGGAAATGTTCAGAGATAACACAAATAGTGAGTCTTAAAAAAATAACGGAACAGTATGCCTTCAGAAGTCATGCTACTGAACATATCACCATAAGCTATACGGTATTTCAAAATATTCAAGAGAAAACAAAGGATATTTCGCATCTGTACGACATGAGAAAGTTAGAGGCCACCAATAAAAACAAACCTGAAAACCTGTTTCAAAAAGTGGTATTACTTTGAATCAGCACCCTAAACACTGATCTATTTAAAAGCAAGCCAATTCTAACAGAACTACTGAATGCTGATATTTCTGGGAACTTTTTTTTTTTTTTAACATTCACCTAAAAGTCTCTGCTGGGTTATCATTATTCTGTGAGGTTACAAGACTTGGTTATGAAGTGCCCATGCTGAATAAAATAAGCTATCTGGCATTTTCCTGGTACATGTAGATGGAGTTTATTCTTTCCTTTTGAGTACTTTTATCACTGTGCTTACTGGATTTATTTTTTTAATGAGCAATAAACTACCTACATTTTTCTTTCAAACTCTGGCCCTAAAACATTATAAATATTCCAGCAAATTAAATCAATTGTAAATCCATTTTTAAAAGGAGAATCCATAAAATAAATGACCGTTCACTCCCTATTTATCGTACATGTTCTTCTCAAACTGTTGTATTAAATAAGCATTTCTCTTAGTGGTGCTTCCACAAGGCCTAGTGAATGCATCAAGGCTGCCAAGGATGTAGGAGGGGTAAAAAAAAAAAAAAAAAGGGAGGTGGGGGAACTTTCTTAATGTGATAATAGCTCAGGAACCCAGGGAGGCCAACTCTGTTAAATACCTGACTATGCCCAGGGCTTAAATGGATACACAGGTATCCTCAACTCTGCAGGATTGCAGAATTTCAATGCATCTTTTCCCGGGGTTAACTGAAGCAGACACTAAGCACCGGAGGGTCCTTCCCCTCGCTGCAGCTCACTGGTATTGTCCACAAGTTCTATGAGCTGCAAACTTCTGCCAGCCTGAACTTCAGCCTTCGAATCTCAGCGTTTTCACTGTAGCCCGTAACTCATTCAAATTATCTTACACTTTGCATCTTATCCATATGCAATCGTGAACCTTGCCAGAAGTGGTTGGAAAAGTTTCATTCCATACTTCCACAAGTTACTAAAATAGGAACTTTGGAAGTTTGTTAGAAAAAAAAAAAACACCAAAAACTTTTACAATAACTAAAAGCAACTGCTATCCATTATTAATGCTAGGCCTAAATCCCAAACAGACCGTTTCAACATAAAAGATGCATTTAAGAGTCTTCTGAGATCAAATAGCCAGAATTCTAACTGTTAGATATTGCAGGAAGAAGGGCTGTCATGTGGGAAATAAATCTAGAATCCAGAGGAGAAAGAAAACTACTTATACTTCTTAGCCTTCCAGAAAGCACCGGGGTAAACCGTTATCTCCTGCTAAATGAGGGCCAAGAAGTGTTAGCAGGTTTCACAGGGAGTGGGGAATAAACATTTTATTTGTAGCATAGAAGTTCTGTAGGTGGTTCATGGTCAATCACCCGGTACCAAAGCAGCATGAAAACTCACGCTTTAAAAAAAAAAAAAGAAAAGAAAATGGTTTTAGTGCAAAATCACTTTGATTCTATGCCTTTCAGTCAAAGAAAATAAATAATGTATTCGAAAGGGACCAGCTCCGGCGACGCGAAGGGGCAGTATTTCGGCTGGGGGTGGTGCCATCTCAGGACTGCGGGCAGGGCACGCACCGGAGGGGCGCGGGAGCCCCCCGCGCCGCACGGAGGCCGAGGAAAAAGTTGCCCCCGTCCGGCGCGCCGGGCGGCCGCTCGCGAGGGGCGGCGACGGAGGCGGCGGCGGCGGCGGCGGGGGGAGCCGCGTCTGGCCCGGGCCGCCGCTCGGGCCCGCGGCCGGGAGCCCAACTCCGCGCGTCACTCCCCGGCCCACGGCCGCGGCCTCCACCGCTCGCCGCCTGCGCAGCGTGGGCTCTTCCCGGCCCCGAAACTTTCACGCTGGGTGGGGGGAAAGCGAGCGGGCCGCCAGCGGGCGGCGAGGGCGCAGGCTCCACCCGGCCGGCGCGGGGCGACGCGCGTCCACGCAGCCCCGCTCCGCGGAGGACTCGTCGCCACCGCCGCCGCCGCCACCGCCACCGCCCGCGTCCAGGGGCGCTGTCCGGGCCGGGCCGGGGCCCGGACGGCGGCCCGCGGCCGGACCCCGCAGGCTGACAAACAATAAACAAAAGTAAGAGTTCGGGAAGGCAGCTGGGGGCCGCGGCGGCGCGGGCTTGGCGGGGCGGTCCCCCCCGCCCGCGCAGTGCCAGGGGCTGCGGCTGCCCCGGCCGTGCGGGGCGCGCTCCGGGCACCGTCGGCGGCCCCCTCCCCGAGCGCCGCGGAGCTCCCGGAACCCGCGCGGGGCGGCGGAGACGCGGAGTCCAGATTTCGGCGCGTCATGGGCTGCAGCCCCAGCGCGGAACACGTGCGGGGCGTCCGCCAGCACCGCCGCTCCGCAGTCGGGCGCCCCGATATTAATTAACGCATTAATAAGAGGGCGCCATTAGCCATGTGCCCACACAAATGGCCGTGCGAGAGGAATGCACCCGCATGGAAACAAAGTTACTTTCTTCAAGCGGCGCCCCCGGCACACACGCGCACAGGCACCCGCGCAGACTCGGCCCACGCCGAGACCCGCGCCCGGCCCGGGCCCGGTCGCCGCGACGGCGCCGCGCGCCCCCTGCCACCCCGGCCCCCGGCCCTCCGCATCCCCGCAGCTGCTTACCTGGGTGAGACAGAGCGGAGAATACATAACTGCCGGGCGGTGGGGTGTGCGTGTGCGTCTGGGTGTGCGGGCCGGAGGTGTGCGTGAGTGTGGGTGAGAGCAGAGGGAGAGAGAGGGAGAGAGGGGGAGAGAGAGAGAGAGAGAGAGAGAGAGAAGGGGGGAGAAAAAAAAATCAAGCCTGCTTCTTGCGTTCACATTTCCAACTCGGCTCAACTGCAGCCGCCAGCGCTAGTGCCGCTCCATGGGCTGAACTTTAACCCCGCCTAGAGTTTCCCTACACTGCACTATACATGCCTACTGTACGCGGGCGTTAAAGGCATAGCGCACTCTTTCCCGCTCCCGCGCCGGCCCGGCCGGGTGCCGCGAGCTGCCCGCGCGCCCGCCTCCGCCTCCGCTCTGCACCGCACCGCACAGCCGCGCCCGCTCGCGCCGCCGCCGCCGCCGCCGGCGGGAGGGGGTGCGTGGGGGAGGGGGCGGCTGCGGCGCCGCGCGGCCAGCCGGGTCCCGAGTCTCCGCGGCCGCCCGCTCGCCCGCCCGCCCGCTCGCTCGCTCGCGCCCGCCCGCGCCGGGTCGCCCCCTCGCTCGCTGGCTGGCTGTTCGCCCCCCGCCCCCTGGCCCGCTCCGCGCAGTGCTGGGTAGCGCAGTGAGGAGCGGTTACAGTCAGCCCCGGGCAGCTATAGGCTGCCACAGGATGTGCTTAAGCAAACAAAACTACTTTTCCTCGTCCCCATCCCCCCACCCGCGCCGCAGACCTTCGCGGACCTCGGTGGAGGAATCGGGCCCCTTGGCCAGGTTGCCCCGCACCCCGCGGGCCACTGTGTGGGCACCGAGGGAACCGAGGAGGAGGCCCGGCTGCACATTTGCATGTATGCAAATTTCTTTGAAAATTCAGACCTCCTAGGTAACTTTCTTTCCCCTCTGAAATGCGGTACGGCTCAAAGCATTGTAATCTCTCCAGCGAAGCTTTCTGTGGGAATAGATTCTTCGGCAGAGGTAATTATGCACAAAACCCTGCAAACTTTGTGCGGCTCCCAGTCCTGTGGCACTCAGAAGCGGGGGTGGTGGGGCGTCATTTCACACCCGAGATTCACCGGCTTACGGGGTGGGGGGCGCGCTGGAGAAAGGAAGGCGGAGATTCGTGGGGGGGGGGTGCTACCCCCCCCCCGTCCCCGCCCCCGCCCCCAGGACCGTGAGACGACTGGGTCTGAACACAGACACCATACACAAAAGTTCTATCATGTTCAGAAACAACAGTGGTTTAGAGGTGACATCTTTTTCTTTTTAGGACAGGAAAAAAAAAATGTGAAAGGGATGTCCTCTTTGGGCAGGGAGATACTCTGATCCGTGAAGGCATGCCAGAGCTGGACCTGGGCTACCTGACCGTCCTCGGTCCCGGGACACCCCTGGAGGGGGGCCTTTTAAGAATCCTCTCTTTTTCCCTCCCCCCAGGTAACAGTTCTTAAAATGGAAAAGAACTTCCTGCAATTATTTTAGGTTTACTAAAGTATTGTTTTGGCAGAAAGGGGGGGTGGTTTTTAGGGTTTGGCAAGTTGCCAAAAAGCTTGCTTTTCCAGTTTTTTTTTTTTAACCTCATATTTTCTCTCTAGGCTCTCCTCTCTCCTAGAAGGAAGAAAAAATGAGTATACCTGCCTCCTCCAAACCTCCTTCCCATCTTTGCCTCCTCCTCCTCTCCCTCACCTTACTCCCCAGCCTGCTGCATTTGCCAACCCTGCTCAAGAATTCCAGAAGGAAAGGGGGGGGGGATTATCACTGGCACACGGGGGGTGGGGGTGGGGCGGGGGTCTGCTCCTTGGGAGACAGAGGCGACTTAGCCAGAGAGACTCTGAAAAGAGATTCCTGTAGGAATGCCCACTAGGCAAATGAGGGTGAGTAGTGTGTTAAGGCCACTTTCATTCAGATTTTTAAAAATAATAATAAGAGGAAGGAAATACGCTACTGGAGAATGAGCAAAAATAAAATCCTGTGGAACAGTTCTGCATCTGTCTGAAGTTATTTTGTATTATTCTGTAGTCACTTGACTGCCCAACTCATTCCCCAGTGCTCAAAAAAAGCATTCCCACCTCTGACATCTCCTTGGAAGTGTCTGATTATTTCAGGAGTGAAGAGAAATAATAACTTCAGCCTTTAATGAGAGTCCATTTTTCCAAGCTAAACTGTTTTTCCTGATTCCTCTTGGGTTTCGGTAGAGAAGAAGTATCCTGCAAACTAAGCCGAGTTACAGAGACAGCACCCTGGCCGCGAAAACCTTTGCTGGGATCTATAACTTCGACGCGCTCCAAGTTTCCTCGATAGAAGTTTCTGGCTGACTGTCCCAACATGTAACTGAGGCACAGCGAGGCGTTATTGTTCCGACTGTGTGCTCTTGGGAAGCTCTCTTCCAGAGCAGATTAAAATCTTTCTTTTGTCGTATTAAAAGGTACACTTCACATCTGCCTCTTCTCAAAACAGCAAAGATTCTTACGTTTGATTGAGCCTCAAGGAAAAAAAAGAAATTTTTAAAAAGAACTGGCACATCGCCCTGTTTCCTTTTTTTAAACGAGGGAAAGTAATTTAATGCTGATATTTCTAGTTTAAAAACGTCTTTTGTTGCAGCAGTGGATGTGCCCGCGATTTCCAGCTCTCTGCGGTTAGCAATATTATCTTAAGTAACTTTTGGCGCCCTTCGTAAGACTTTTGGATATGGGACGATTGTTTGCGCCCTCTAGGCAAGGGCTGGATCCAAGTTCAGCACTAAAGCCTTTCACATCCGCCCCTGCTTTCTCTCCTATCTCCGCCAGCTCCCGCTCCCTCCCCCGCGCCTGGGGGGAGGGCGGGCGGGGGCGGAGGCGGGGGCAGCACTCAGAGCTCGGTTCCAACTACAGCGTTTGGAAACAAGACTGAGAAAAATACAGTAGAAGAGTTACAGTTACAAAAAGGCTTCTGGTAACTTTCTCTCCAACAGGCATAAATTTAAACACACACAAAGAAACAGATGTTCCTCAAAGGGCACATTGGGGGTAAAAAACATTTCCAACTCTCTCCCCTCTTCCCAACTTGGAAAAGTAAACCCTTGTGCAGAGTTCACAAAGATACTAGGACACTTGAGAGAGAGCAGGGACGGGAGGGGTGGGGGTGGGGGTTGCAGAAAGTGGAGCAGTGCAGGAAGCGCAGGTGAAGTATGAAAACTAGTTTATTGCAATCATATAAATGACCCATTGTTAGGAAGGATAAACCCCTTATTGGAAATAACCGCTCCAATCATTTATTTTGCAAGTGTAGGAGGCTGCCTTGAAATGGGATTGTCTGAGCAAAGGAGGCTCCTGTCATGCTCTCTGCTATCCATATTCTTCCTGGCACCGAGCCCAGCCTTGCATTTGCTGTGTTTTATTTGCAGAGACGCTACCTTGCCAGCTTTAGTGAAATCCTCTTAGATATATAAATTACGTCAATAAGGTTTCACTTATATGTACATCTCAAATACCTCTCATTTTAGAGGTTACTTAATAGGGAGATCTTATTAATATGATTTAGATTTTAATACCCAAAGCAGTGAAGATAGGACTGGGAGTCGTAAGTCACAACACCATTAACTCTAGTTCTTACCAAGACTAACTTTATTAACTAGCCTTCTCCAACCTTCTTCCTCTCTAGCTTTTGACCTTCTGGTCAGTTGTGTGCAGACTTGTCTTATATGCATATAATCTTCAACTGAATCATGTTGCCCAACTGATAGAGTGAAATCCTACAGCAAATTTCCAAACCAGATTTGATTAGGAGGCCTGAAGCCTTGGGAAACAGCTTGATGGGAATTTAATCCAAAAAAAAAAAAAAAAAAAAAGGAAAGAAAAGAGACCATATGATTTTCCATTCACTTCCCAAAGCTCACTACAGTCCCAGAATTCAAGCAAGGTGTAAGCCTGCATTCCTCACAGCATTGAGGTCTGCAGCATTCAGAGAAGGAGATGGATACCTCTCAGAGACTGTCAGTCAGTGCCTCCAAGACAAGGAGCTGGTCAGTCAGTGCCTCCAAGCTGCAGCTGGTTTCCATTGGATTGGTGTCAAGGACCTGCTCAAGAGGCCAGACTCCAGCTAGCCGTTGAGGGAGTCAGCTGGGGCTGCTGTGGTAACAAGAAATGTGAACTTGGCCAGTCTTAGTGTCCTGTTTGCTGCTGACCATACACTTCAAACAGGAGAATTCAGGAAAAGACGCTCCCTTCCCCTCCTTCCTTTCAGCTCTGTGAAACAGCTGTCAGTCCACCTGTGAATCTCTGTGTGTGTGTGCCTTAAAATTGCTGTTTAGAGTTCAAGAGAGGCTCACCCCTTCCTCCCAAGTACTCCCAATACCAAAGCTTCTAAGACAATCTGAGTGCGAAGTTTTGTAATGCTGAGTGCGCAATATATTCCTTCCCAGAGCCACTGCAGTCCCACCGTGCAGGCACGCGCTGTTTAAACCTCACCTTCCACCACGGTCACACCAACTTCCCTGAGGTTACAAATCACAACTAAGGCAAAGTCTCTCTCTAGCAAGATTTGTCTGACTTTTCCCAACAGGCAAACAAGGCGTGCAGTTCATGCGAGAATCCCCCAATCAGCTTTCCTTTTTTCTGAAACTCGACAACTCTTTGCTATTGTGCTTGCTAAATCCGGAAGAGCCTGCAGCTTTGACAGATCGAGCCGCAGAGAACTTCAGGTCTCCTCCGCCCCGCCCCCTCTGGCTACTGCGAACCATTGTACAGCCAAGCGTGCTCGTGATTGGACCAAGCCTTTGTCAATCTCCCGGGTGGTCCCATTGATTAGAGGATCGAATCGTCAATTATTCTGCGGGTCCAGACATTTCTTTCGGGTTAGGTTGACTGCTGAGGCCAGACGTCTTTTACAGAACAGAGCACGTACAGGATTTCCCCCCACCCCTTTCTGGAACCGAGCAGGCGCTAGGAGGAAAAAAATTTGTCAAGCTCAGCAATTTTTTCAAATCCCGAAAAAAAAAAAAAAAAAAGGAAACACGGTCTCCTGATGCACGGCGCACAAAACGGCATCCACAAAGCTACATCTTTAAAACAAAACCATCACAATAGACATTTACCCAGCAATCAGTGAAGTGCATGAGCGAGCGAAATTTTAAAGTCTTAGCCATTACGCAAAACCATTCTGCCATCATTGTTGTTTATAAAACGCACATAGTATAAATGCAAAATAGAAAGTTTAAGATGCACCACGTACCATTGCAATGTAAAAAGAGTACGTGAGAAACTTTAAAGTGTTCAGGCGAATTGCTTCATTTGTTGTCCCTTTTTTGCATTAAAGAAAAAAAATCTAAATAAACTTGGAACCGTTGAAAACCCGGAAGAGATTTTTTAAAAAGCTGTTGGCCAATTGCAGGCTTCTTGGATATATATATATATATATATAATATATATATTTAACTCCAAATCAGAAGGCTTTTGCAATTGCAATGCGCGTTCTCTCCCTCTCTCTCTGTCTCTGTCTCTCCCTCTCTCCTCTTTTGAAAGCGATCCAACCCGTGCTGGCTGCTTCTCAGATCCTCTCTGCTTTTGCCTGGTGTGCTTTGGATGGTACGAGACTTTGCAGAAGTTGCAATCGATCCGCCAGTCCCTCTCTCGGCTCCCTGCCCCCTTGTTTATTTCCGCAATCGCTGCAATTTGCATAGTAACCACGCGGGAGGCGGCGGCGGCCGCCTGCCGAGGGGGCCCGAAGGGGGCCGGGGAAAGGCCTGGCCCCTTCTCCCCTCCTCTGCTCTCCTCCCTCCGCGCCAGTCTCCTCCTCCCCCGCGGCGCGTGGCCAATGGGAGCCCCTGCGTTCGGCGCAAGCTCCGGTCGGGACACCGTGCGCGAGAAAAGCCCCTGCGTTGCTAGGCCCGGCTCACGGGATCCTGGCTTTGGCGCAGTGCGAGTGCTGCTGCTTGCGGGCCTCGCTGCGGGTCCTGCGGGGACGGGAGGCTGGAGCCAGCTCTGCCCGCCATCGCGGGGCTTTGGTGCATTGGAGTCCAGCCTTGCACATTTGCCTTCTCCGTTTGCCAGAGCCTCTCGTGAGTTATTAGTGTAGTTCAGGATGGTTAGTGAGAGATTTAACCTTTATTTGCACTGGTGTAGACCAAGAGGTAAAGACCCTCCCTGGTGCATTAAATCAGAAGAGTGCAGGGTGTCACAGAGAACTTGCAGAGAAATAAAGCTTCTGCCCTGGTTCGGAAAGATGACTGAACATAAAGATTGTTAGGTGGGCTCCCTCCAGAATGCAGCTGTCCCTTTAAGGCAGGCTGGCTATACCGGTGAAATTGGAATTTAATTGCTGAGCATCTGATTTGTCAATATCCTACAGAATCTGGGTTCCACACTAGAGCCAACCCTCTCTTTCCTAACACGCTCTCCCCCCACCAAGGTAGCTGGAAGAGTTTTGACATTTAAAGTGGGGTTATTAAAAGATAATTAGTGGAATATTAAGTTCATCTCATGGAGTCATCTTATTTCATGAACCCAGACTCTTTCCGTAAGCCCATGTCATCTGGATATTTCAATGTCAACATTCGGTGCCTATTTTCAACAGCAGAATAGCCTTGGTGGGGAGAGGGGGGTAAAGGGCACAGGTCTAAAAGGAGGTAATATCTCTTTAAATAGCAACTGTCACAACCAAGCTGCTGCATTTGCTGTTGTTTTAAAATGTTTGCTTAATGTCAGTTAAGTAGCTTAGGACATTTTGCCAAAACAATGAGTTACAAGAAAATGTATGCGTAGCTTTCTTG